ACTGTGACGCCCTCAGCCACTTCCCTGCCCTCCTCACTCACCCAAAGGAGAAAATCAACAAGGTGATACATGCGCTCTATCCTCTTCTATATATATATATACACACACACACACACACACACACACACACACACACACACACACACACACACACACACACGTTGTCTGGAAGTGATGAAATCCGAGACTTGGTGCTAGTGTGAATGCTGTGTGAAAGGTAATAGATGGGACAGCTAGCTATTAGTAGTTCACAACATGAAGAACGAAGAGGATGAAGTGACGAAGAGGACCTCAGCGGCTTGTTAGTTGTAGTTGGCGAGACAGTGGGGGTTATTAGTCTGTATGCATGTGATGCCATGGGTTGGTGGCCAAAGGGTACCAAGACCGTGTGTCTGTGCTGATATCGGAGTGCATCTGAGACTGGTCACTTAAAAAAAATGAGGCTCCTCTTTGTGACCAGTTGATGATTAGAGCCTCAAAGATGCCCTGGCCCCACCCACAGCACTTTGTCTCGGCCAGAGGTCAAACCCACAGATGAGACCTTTGTGATTCTGATCCAGTTTAGACACAAACACTCAACTGGCAAGTGCTTTTAGTTCCCTGGGATAGGAGTGGGTAGTCATGTGAAATTATTTAACAGTCTACACAGTGTGATTTTTACCCTCACTGGTTCCTTCTCTCTGGTTGAAGGTGTCACTTTAATTCACCTGGCTTCTTTGGACAGGATAGAAACTGTATACACCTGAAACCTATGTGGCTCCAGCACCTGTCGTCTCAGTTATAAGTTGTCACTACTCTTGTATTTGTGCTCTGTCCTGTAGGAGGCAGTGTGGTTCCTATCCAATATCACAGCAGGCAACCAGCAGCAGGTGCAGGCCGTCATTGATGCCAAGCTAGTGCCCATGATCATTCACCTGCTTGACAAGGTTTGTATCATGCCCTTTTTATAGCCCCTTTCAGACATGTGCTCCTTTCAGTTGATCTGACATCATCTGTGTCAGTTTCGTGTCTGAAGAAGCATCCTGGTTACTTTTCCATAAATGTCTCGTTGGCGGTCTTACTAGGTCAGACCTAGTAACATTTACAGATCACTTTCAGGTTTATCCCTACCATAGAAAAGCTAAGGTGACATATCTAAATTAATGTAAAAACAACGGTGAGTTATATGTGCTGGAAAAAAACGGAGTTGTGTTACTTACTTTGAATACATATATATTTTTAGGGGGACTTCGGTACACAGAAAGAGGCAGCCTGGGCCATCAGCAACCTGACGATAAGTGGCAGGAAAGATCAGGTAAGAACTGTCTTTTGTGTTTTAACCTCTAAGCTTTTCACCCAGACAGTATTTACCAACCTGACTCAAATCTCAAGAAAGTTGTCAGCAGCCACTGTAAATTTGAAACAGCAAATGTAGAACCTTTGCTGATGAAATTTTCTTTCCATGCTAACTTGTCATGCAACTGAAAAATAGTAATGATTGTTTCTTTGTTGTGTACAGGTGGCACACCTCATTGAGAAGCAGGTGATCCCTCCATTCTGCAACCTGCTGACAGTGAAGGACGCTCAAGTCGTGCAGGTTGTCCTCGATGGCCTCAGCAATATTCTCAAGATGGCTGACGACGAGGCTGAAACTATTGCTAACCTCATTGAGGAATGTGGTGGTGAGTTCCCCTTGTAACCATCAAGGATTTAGCATTTTGTACCTGTTGGTGTTGGCTGTTAACGTGCGATCAAATGGGGTTTGTCACACAGGTTTGGAAAAGGTGGAGCAACTGCAGAATCATGAAAATGAAGATATCTACAAACTGGCATATGAAATAATTGATCAGTTCTTCTCATCTGATGATGTAAGTTACTTAGTTATGTGTATTTACCTTTCAATTTTAGATTTAGTTCAGATTTTTATTGTGGTTTAACAGGAAAGTAGCTGTTAAGTTGTGCTATCTGGTTACTGTTTAGAAACTTGATGTTATGTCAGATACAGTTGTAATACTGGATGGAAGAGTTGAAAGAGCAGACTGGCACCACATTGTGGTGTATTCCTTTAAAACCTGCTCACACATTTAAGACAAAAGTGTCATTTATGATCATTTCGAGCAAGATAAACAGAACCTTTAGCATTTAGTTGCTCTTACAAGTGTGTTCTCTCACCAGCCCAATACTTTTTTCCCACCAATTTCAAAAGTCATGAGATGTACTGAACACCACTAGTTTTGGATCTACAATCATGTCGGCCATTGTTAATGTTGTGCTCACTGTCTGTTCAGATTGATGAAGACACCAGCCTGGTCCCAGAGGCCATCCAGGGCGGAACTTATGGCTTTAACTCAGCCAACGTGCCAGCCGAGGGATTCCAGTTCTAGATGGCATCTGGGGTATTCTGGAGTTTTGTTCGCGATGCAGCACTCTGTTCAACATTAAAAAATTAGGAGAGAAAGAGCGAGAGAGAGCGAGAGTGTGAGAAATTTGATCCATTGTGCTTGGCTCGTGGGATCCATGGCTGCATCTTACCTGAGAGAAAAATGTGTGGATTTCATTTGGCATTCCAGGGGAAACCAGCCCAAATGAAGTTTGAGATGGCGAGTGGGTGCGAGTGAGAGTGAGTGGCTACATGTTGCAAAAAGAAAAACATCTACATCGAATGCGTTACGAGACATGCTGACAACTTCTGTTATTGGAGCTGTTGTTTCTACTTCAGATGACAACAGAAAAACAAACACAAAAAAAAAAAGATGTCTGCCTGTGGGAAAAACCAAGGACATCCAAAAGTAAGGAAACGTGAAACAAAAATGCAGAAGTGAATACAACTATAATTGTGAACTGAGATGAACCACGAACATCACAATTCTGCAGTCCTCCGACCAGAAGAGGGCGCCACCCTCAATGTGCCCCTCCCCCAATCGGCCACGCTATCAGACATGTGTGTGAATGGACCCATTGTGTATGAATGTCTGGACTCAGTGCTGAGGAGCCAGGTTCATCTCCGATGAGACGCCCCGATGGGGCACCATCCTCTCCCCCCGGCGGGTGGGGCCAGGAGTCCGGCTGCGCGTGTCGCGTGTGCGAGAGAATGGACGGATGAGTTGTGTGTGCTTGGCTGCGTGCGTGAATGGGAGTATGCGAGGCTGGGTGAGAACGCATGCAGAGGCAGGAAAAAGATACAAATACAACATCTGAAGAGAAACAAAATTGAGAAAGGTAACAATGAGGTTAGTGAAAGTTTCAGGAAAGAAATTCTGCCTTTGAAAGAGAGGCTAATCCTCAAAACCCTGAAAGGAAGAACTTTGGATATGAAAAAAGTCATCACAAGGATTATTTTTATTTTGAATTATTAAGTTAGTATTAATTGACACTGGACAATGCTATTGGCATGTGTGGAGCAGCAGTGCATTGTATTAAGATGCATTTGGTGGCTTTTGGGCTTTTGTTTTTGCCTCCAGTGTGTTCCTTTTTATGATACTTTTTTATTTTTATTTCAGCTTTTAGTTTCATTGCTTCTGTAAAGGTGATTGATCACCATCGTATTCCACCCTCACACCAGAATCCTAACCTAGGCACCAGACATGGGCTAGATGCTGTGAAATTCTGACACCATCTCTATAATCAACCAAATAACCTGTTCCCCTTGTGACACTTATTTTTCCTTCAATTTACAGCAAAATCACTGCTTTGCAGTATTGTTGCCATAGCTTTGACGTATCACCAAGGGAGAAGAGAACAATGGCCATTTCACGTACGATTGTGAATCATAACCTTTGCATGTACTAAACTATAGCACAGTTATTTTTAGGATGTAAGTTTCCTTAGACTGTGGATACAGTGTAATTTTCTTTTTAAGTAAAACTGTGCTTAAATGTTACATGTTTTTCCTTACCCCTCACTAGTGTCCAATTTGCTACATAATCTGTATGGTTTTTCACATGTACTGCAAAGTGAGGCCTGAAGTCTTTCTGAAGGGTTTGGTTGGTTTCATAGGTTTTGACCTGCCAACAAGCTCAACAATATGCATCACTTGACCACAATCTTTGTCTTTCTAGAGTAATCCAATTATGCTTTTTAGTGATACTTGAAAGTAATGACTATTTCAGGAGCAGCAGTAATGAATCTGCTAATGTATCTCACCTAAGAGGGGGTTTAACCTCCCTTTTCTCAGTCAAATGGCCTAGATTCCAGACTGGATTTGTCCCAAGGGAGTTGTCCTGAATAATAACCCCATGAATAGGTTTGCTGTTCCTTTAGTACCCTGCAGAGACCTTAGCCCTTTGCCCCGCAACCCCCTTATTACCAGCTAGGTGTTCAAGCTTACCCTTTTCCTTTTTTGTGTTACCTTCAGACACTGTAGTAAATGATTACACATTGTGCTCATAAACCTTCTGTTGAACATAGGGGTATTTTTTTGCAGCATTCCTTGTTAGCAAACGTGGTTTCAAATCTAAAATTATGATCTGGGAAAACAGGTGGTTTGCCCAAAATCCTTTTGGGAGATAGGCTACAGGATAGGTTGTCTTCGAGAAAATAAATAGTGAAACCCAAATCGAGAGACTGCTTGTGTGTGTGGTTTGTTGTGAACAAGTAGTGTGATTAATTCTTCTATGCATTGCGTTTTTCTAGTAACACCCTTATTTCTGACATCGGTTGAGCTTTTATTCAAATCGAGAAAAGGATGAATCTGATTGGCGAAAGAGAACGTTTATCCGCATGCGTACTACGAGAAATCAAAATGATGCATTCCTAAACTGTCGGAATGTAGTGTTTGAAATGGGCGTGGTATATACGCGAACGGCTATATACATAAAAAAAATTACAATCGACATTGTTAGGGTAAACACAACAAAAGATGAATTTATTTATGCAAACATTTCACTTACCGAGCGAATAGGATTTATATTAAGTAATGAAGCCCGAAAACAAACTTCGTTTGCTT